AAAAAAAAAAAAAAAAGAATCCAAAATTTTATCTCCAATTCCAGGTTCTCTCCTAAACTCTAACCTTACATACCCAACTGCAACTCAACATCTACACCTGCATGTCTAATGACATCAAATTTTTTATTTCAAAGGAAAACAGAAACAAAAACCATGATTCTCCCACCTTCTTATATTATTATAGATAATAAGAAGTCTATCATTTTCTTAGTACATCCTATCTTAATAAATAGCACCACCACACCCGAGACCTCATGCAACAACTTAAGATTCAATTTTGATTATTTTCTTTCCCTCATATCCTCACACAATCTCTCAGCAAGTCCTATTGGCTCTCTGATCAAAATATATCCCAGTTCTAAATGTTTCCCTTCTTTTACACCACTACCTCTCTAGTCCAAGACATTGTCTCTCAGCTACGATGTTGCAGTAAATTCCTTCATCTGCTTCAGTTTTCAAACAATCAGTTCTCCATGGAGGGGTCAGAATAATCTTATAAAAACATAATTCAGATCATATCAATTCTCTGCTCAAAACCCCCCAAACCTTCCCATCTCAGCATAAAATTGGAACTCTTTTCTATGTCTTACATCCTTGGTCTTCCATTCTTCTCTTATTTCATCTCCTTTCATTCTTTCCCTCTCTCATTGTGTTCTAGCCTCACCTGTTTATTTGTGTTCCACAAGTTCCAATCACATTCTTGCTTGGGACCTTTTCACTTTCAGTTCTTACTACCTGAAATACTCTTCCCTGATACATTCCTATTATTTGTCTCATTACTGTCTTTAGGTCTTTGTTTAAATATCATCTTTAAGAGAACTATTTCCAAAAATTCTATCTAAAATGACTTATACATATTAATCTCCATTATTTAATTTATTTTTTGTAGCACATATCAATATATCAATATGAAATATATGAAATTATCATATATTTTCTTCTTGAGTGTCTTCTCAATTAGAGAAATAAATAATTATGTGGGAAATGGGTGAAAAGAAAGCAAGAGTGAAAGAGTGAATTTGTATAAAAAAATTATCCCCTCAATGTCCCTGCTGTTTGGATGATACTTCATATCTTAAGGTCAGGGGAATGTAAGTCAGAAGTAGACTAGGCTAGCAGGTAATTCAACTAGTATAGATATTCAGAGGAAAATCTACATTTAAGGTACATATTTAGTTGATGACTAATTATGTCTTTGTAATCAGATATGTCCACCTTCTCACAAGGCACTCTCAAAGTTGATTTCTCACCTGGAAAGAACATTGAACTCTTATCTCATCATGCAGTCATTCTATTCCCTTCATTCATGTTCCATCAAATGATTAGTCAGAAAAGAGTACAAAATTGTGCCAGTATACAGTATATAGAAGAGACACCTGGCTATAGAAACTCCCAATGCTTCCTGAATTCGAGCGCTCCTTTCTCTGGCTTCTTACCATCCTTTATAAACTGTAGATACTCACAGTCCCTACTTTCCTCATGGGAACATCCCCTGCAACTGTTTCACTAAGTCCCTGATGTTCAGATGGAGGAGAGAGTGAAAAAAACAAACATTCATTAACTTTGTGCACGAGTGTCTTCCAGGATCCAGAGAAATTACAAGTGTTTTCTCTCCCAAGCTGACTCCATATCTCTGTCCTTGAATCTCCAGGTGCTGCAACATGTGCTTAGGTTGGCTTAGGTGTCTAAGATGGACAATAAATCTCTATCCCTGGTTCACCAATTCTCTGTGGGTTTACCTGGGAACCATGTTAGGTAACATTGAAAACAGTACCAGGCTGGAGCATGGACACCTGGGTCCAGTTTTTCCCTGGAGCCTAAAA